TTTGGGAGTGTGTAGGAATTGCTGCTGCCTGTCTGCTCCAAAGGGCACCTGCAGGACACCTGCATGGTCACAGCTCCAGTGGCACCTCCCTGTGGGATTCCCACAGGGATCCAATGGCACAGATGGGGAGGGCGGGCTGTGAGTGGGTCTGTGTGGGGGACTGGCCAGGGCAAGGTGTGGGTGCTGGTGGCAGGGGAAGCCAGAGGCACGAGGAACTGAGCAACAGATTGTCTCTTCTCCGTGCTACCCCTGTAGCTGGGTGTGGTGTACACCGAGGGCGGTTTTGTGGAAGGCGAGAGTAAGAAACTGGGACTGTTTGGGAGCTACGTCGACATCTTCAAAGGGATTCCCTTTGCTGCCCCTCCAAAGACTCTGCAAGACCCTGAACCTCATCCTGGCTGGGATGGTAAGATCCAACCTTTGAATGCCTTTGGTTTGGGATTTTTTTTTTTTCTTCTCTTTTAGCCTGTTTTTGGCAAGCCAAAGATGTTGTTGCCTGCTTTTATTGACTGAGCAGAGCCAATAAGAAGCTCTTTATCTCCTGGAGGGTCTGAGAGTCTGTGTCTAGGTGTTCCCAAGTGACTAAAGTAACCCCGGAAAGTAACAAAACCGAAGCATGGCACCTGCACCTGCCCTCCCCTGGCCATGGCTGTCCAGAGCCAATTCACAGGGGCAACGCTCCTACTCTGTCACTCCCTCAGACCGGTCACAGTGGCTGGGGAGGATTTTCTGCCTCTGCACTGGACTCAGAGAGCAAAGGATGGGTGGACAGACAGACTGTAAACAGTGGATGGAGTTGATGCCCCTAACTAGGACATGCTGTCTTTCTTCTCTCCTCTCAGGAACTTTGGAGGCAAAATCATACAAGGATCGCTGCATGCAGATGACGCTCACCCAGACTGATGTCCGTGGGATAGAGGACTGTCTCTACCTGAACATATGGATCCCTCAAGCCAGGAAACAGGGTATGTGCTTGGCAGGGACCCAGGCAGGAGCTTCCCAGCTGCGTTTTAAGCACAGATTATTCTGGAGCATCTCTCAGCAGTTACATTCCCATAGTGGGCAAGTGCTGAGCAGTGGTTTTGAGGAGAAAGGTGGGAACTGTGTCAGGCAACGACCCCCAGCTGCAGCCTCTTGGGAGGTCCAGCCTGTTGTGCAGAGCAAGGACTTCCTTGGCCAGAGGTGATGGCAGAGCATTGTCTGTTCCTGCCCAGGTGCAGTGATGCTCAGGGAGTGGGTGAGGGGATGGACAGGCTGCACCTCCTGGCTCTGTTGTAGCTCACTCTGCTCCTCTTGCTCCCCTGGCAGTCTCTACCAACCTGCCTGTGATGGTCTTCATCTATGGTGGTGCCTTCCTGGTGGGAGAGAGCCAGGGACCCAATTTCCTGGCTGACTACCTGTACGATGGCGAGGAGATCGCCGTGCGGGGCAACGTCATCGTGGTCACCGTCAACTATCGTGTGGGGCCCCTGGGCTTCCTGAGCACAGGAGATGAGAACATGCCAGGTACCACCACTGCTCCCTCTGTGTCTGGGGGGGACCCTGTGCTGGGTCAGCTTTGCTGTGCCCCTGCTCAGTGGTGGGTGCTCTGTGCCGCTCAGGGAACTACGGGCTGAAGGACCAGCACATGGCTATTGCCTGGGTGAAGAGGAACATCAAGGCCTTTGGGGGTGACCCAGAAAACATCACCATCTTTGGGGAATCGGCCGGTGCCGTCAGTGTCTCCCTGCAGGTGAGTTGTCTCTGTCACTCCCCACTAGAACCACTTCTGTGTAAATGGGGGAGAGGGACCCCTTGGCACTGGGACACTTTCCTCCCCAGGCTGGGTTCACAAGCTGTGAGGTGATCAGTGAGGTCTGACACACCATGGTGTCTCCATGAATTCTTACCTGGAACCCTCTTGTTTCCATTCTGCACCCCAGAGCTTGTCCCCGAAGAACAAGGGCCTGTTCAAGAGAGCCATCAGCCAGAGCGGTGTCGGGCTCTGCAGCTGGGCCATCCAGAGGGACCCGCTCTACTGGGCTAAAAAGGTAATGTTCAAGTCTTGCCTGAGTGATTGGAAAAAACAAAAAAGTGATGCCCTAGAGGAGAGCATAACTAGGAGCTGTGCCCAACAGAACTTTGGAAACATGATGCTTTGAAGATCAAAACACATCCACCCCTCTGCCTCTATAAAAATAACCTCTGTCTTTGGGAGGTAATGCTAGGTTTCTTTCTCTCTCCTCCTGCAGCTCGGAGAAAAGTTGGGCTGCCCCACAGACAACACTGCCACCTTGGCCAACTGCCTTCGTGTCTCTGACCCCAAAGCCTTGACACTCGCCTACCACCTGCAGCTGACCAACCTGCCCAGTAAGTCCCCTGGCCCATGTGGTGATTCCCCATCCAGCCAGGGCTCCCCAGACCTCTGGCAGGGCACTGGAGTAATTTCCAGGAGTGCTGAAGCAGTGCTTGTGTCCTTCAGAAGGAGGGCAATAATGCCAGATCTTGCAGTCACCCTTCCATAGGCAGATGCACATTGCGCTGGCTGAGCACAGCCCACCTCAGCCTAATTTTTCCACAGCTCTTTGAGTCATTGCAGACCACACACCTGTCTGTTCTCACCTCCTAACAGACTCTGGGTTTGTCTCCCGCTGCAGCTGCCCTGGTGCACACCCTGGCCATCACCCCTGTGGTTGATGGAGATTTCCTCCCAGACATGCCAGAGAATCTCTTTGCCAACGCTGCCGACATTGACTACCTGGTTGGGGTCAATGACATGGACGGGCACATCTTCGCCGGCATAGATTTACCTGCCATCAATGCCCCCCTGAGGAAAGTCACTGCGTAAGTGAGAGAGGCTCTGGAAACCCTCAGCAGGAGGAACCTTCTCTTTAATGTAGCTCCCAAACTCTGAGCGCTTAGACCTGAGTGGACAGGGCTTGACCTTCAAAACAGGGTGTCACTCCGAGCCTGGGTGCCCAGGGCTTGTGTTGCTGAGTCCAGAGCCTTCAAGAGAAAGGGCCAGGCAAGAGTTGTGCCCCACTGGAAGCTGCTGGTCAGTAACTAGGTGATATGGCTTGTCTTTTCAGGGAAGAGATCTACAATTTGATCAAAGCACTGACCGTGGACAGGGGCGAGGCTGGAGCCAACGCCACGTACAGTATCTACACCCAGAGCTGGGACAAGAACCCGAAGCAGGAGGACATGAAGAAGACAGTGGTGGAGCTGATGACTGACTACATCTTCCTGGTTCCCACACAGTGGACCCTGAACCTGCACCTGCAGAATGCCCAGTGAGCAGCTCAGCCCTCGTAGGAAGACTGAGCTGGACTGGGGGAGCAAAATGCTGCATTGCCAGCAGAAGGGGCTGAGGAGCAGGTTAAGAGAGCTCTGCTCTCCCCTTGCTTAGCCAGTCTCTTTTGTTTCCCCAGGAGTGCCAAGACATACAGCTACTTGTTCTCCCAGCCATCCCGCATGCCCGTCTACCCCAGCTGGGTTGGGGCAGACCACGCTGATGACCTTCAGTACGTCTTTGGGAAGCCCTTTACCACCCCCATGGGCTACTGGCCCAAGCACAGGACCGTCTCCAAGTACATGATCGCTTACTGGACCAACTTTGCCAGCACTGGGTGAGTGATTCCTGTTCCACAGTTGTGCTTTGCTGCAGCCCTTCAGCCTGCTGCCTTTGCCCAGTAACTTCTCAGGATCATTCCCCAAAGCAGGGTGTTCTCTGTGTTTCTGTTGTGAGCTGGGTTCTGTGTCTCCCAGTGGAGAGTTTGCTCCGGGTCCTCCTCATCCATAGCACNCCACTTCTGTGTAAATGGGGGAGAGGGACCCCTTGGCACTGGGACAATTTCCTCCCTGCCTGCTGCCTCATTAACATCCTCCCCTGAACAGCAATGCTGGCCTCTGTGTTTTGTAGGTGCTCCTCTTTCTTCTCTTTAACTAGTCCCCTGAATTTTTGCCTGGAACCCTCTTGTTTCCATTCTGCACCCCAGAGCTTGTCCCCGAAGAACAAGGGCCTGATCAAGAGAGCCATCAGCCAGAGCGGTGTCGGGCTCTGCAGCTGGGCCATCCAGAGGGACCCACTCTACTGGGCTGAAAAGGTAATGTGCAAATCTTGTCAAAGGATTATAGCTTCCTAAAAGGTGGTTCCCTAGAGGAGAGCTTAACTAAAAAGGGATTTGGCAGGAGCCATGTCCAGCAGGGCTTTGGAAACGTGATGCTTTGAAATTAAAACCAACCACAGCTCTTCCTCTGTAACCCCTGTCTTTGGGAGGTAATGCTAGGAGGTTTCTCTCTCTCTGCTCCCACAGCTTGGAGAAAAGTTGGGCTGCTCCACAGACAACACTACCATCTTGGCCAGCTGCCTGCGTACTGCTGATCCCAAAAAACTGACTCTGGCCTACCACCTGCAGCTGACCAACCTGCCCAGTAAGTCCCCCAGCCTGCACTGTGATCCACCACCCACTCAGGGCTTCCCAAACCTCTGGCAGGACACTGGGGTAGTTGCCAGCAGTGTTGAAGCAGTATTTGTGCCCTTCAGAATGGGGACAATAATGCCAGATCTTGCAGTCACCCTTCCGTAGGCAGGTGCACATTGTGCTGGATAAGCACAGCCCATCAGGCAGCAGGGATTATCCAAGGGTCATGCCTTGACTCCAGAGAAGCTGTTTGGGCTTCCTGGTCTGTGGAAGTAGCAAGAGCAACTCCCGCACGTGGCTTACAAACAAAATACAATTGACCACATCCCTGCTATTTCCATTTGAGTCGCTGGGTGGAGTGTGGGACTCACACCAGGAAGGGAACGCTGCTGCTTTTGCTGCCTGTGAGGACTCCTTTCCCAAGAACACTCCTCTTGCTCTCCTCATGCTCCTGGTCACTATGAGCCTTTAGCGTTGCTCAGGACTGAGATTTGGCCAAGCCACCACTATGCAGATGCGCTGGCTGGAGCTGGCAGTCCTGGCAGTCAGAGAGCATGGCCAGACGGGATAAGTTCAACTCTTCCCTACACTGGCTGGGCTTTTTGGGAAGGGACTTGGTGGAGGAGAGGAATTTTGGATGTTACAGCCTGGTAACATGGATGCCAGATCTCCTGCTCTTCTCTTTCACCGACAGTCACGAGGTTTACCCTGCTTCTGGGTGACATCCTGCCCGTGCTGAAGTCACTGCTCAAGCTGTCATTCACCTCAGCCTGTTCTTTCCACAGCTCTTTGACTCTTGGGATATACCAGACCACACACCTGTCTGTTCTCACCTCCTAACAGACTCTGGGTTTGTCTCCCGCTGCAGCTGCCCTG